CGTTATCTTGCAATTTCAAATTGTGGTTTGCCTTCCTCAGGCTGGTCGCATTATTATTCCGAAGGGCAAAATACAGTGCAATGTCAAATTGATATGTTGAATATTTGCAATCTCAGCACGTTCGTTCTAGCTTGTCCATTATTAAAAGTTGCCTAATATATGACTTTTAAGCAGGAATCTGATCAAGCTGCACTGCTGATATAAATGTCTGTACTTATTTAAGGTCACTTGTAGAAGCCAAATGAATCTGGGCTACAATCTTAAACATCGACACCGCCATATATAGCTAGACCAAAATCCTCCGCTTGAAGTACAAATGCGTCTAATCGCAAATAGTATTCAAACACGTACTTTAGCCGGGATATCTTTATTGCGACAACATGCCACACTTTATCCGGGCTGGTGTTATCACGTTACTGGGTGTTACCGCAATAACATTCAGCAATACGGGCCATTTAATCACAGACAAATAGCTTACGGGGAGTGGCTGACAGAGAATGATAAAAACTGAGGCCACACTCTAAGTCTCCTCTATTTCTTTCCTTTCAGTGGATGCAGTCAAGTACAGTATTCCACCGCAGTCGACATCAACTCTAAGAGGAGGGACCGTTATTTTGAAATGTGCATTTAGTGGCCTGGGTGCAAGTGACGTTATCAACTGGGTAGGGCCGCCAAACTTTCGTCTGATAGCAAATAATCGGAAAGTTGACCCTAAGTACCCACGATTTGAAATTGTCGGTGATGCGTCTAAATACGAATTCCATCTGAAGATACGACGTGCAAGACGTGAAGACGAGGGCATCTATCGCTGCAGTACGCTGGGGCTTGATCCTGTGGATGCAACTCTCACTGTTGTTGGTGAGAACATTCAAGTTTCATACTTACATGTATCTACTATTTACTTTACTTTACTTTACTTTAGCAACGCTTAGAACCACTTAAGAGTAGAATCATCCCTCTTGTGATTTGCAGCGCAATCATTCTTCAATGGCTGAATGAAGACTCTGAACGGGAACTGCATGTACCGCTGTACCGGCTTCCTGATGAATGGTCGCGGTGTAAAATGTGTTGGTCAGCGGAAGAATGATTCCAATCTATTGAAACACGTATACTATACTTTTGAAACACTTAATACTAGATTTTCCCTTTTTGTTGTAATTGAAGTTAATATAATTTGCTTAATTACACATCAGTATTTAAAATAAAAATAGGAAGCAAGTGCGCGCATGCGTCCAATGCCTATACTTATGACATCTTCCTGCTAATTACGACATCTTTGAATGTTGTTTACAGTTCCAGCTGACGGACCTCCGATGATAAGCGGTGGTGACAGTGCCATCCTGGCCGGAGGACAACTGCTCCTGTCCTGCAGCTCCAGAGGAGGCCATCCCCCGCCTGAGCTGACCTGGTATAATGGGACAGGCCGCGTAGAGACACAGCACGACGCCGCTGATGGGACTAGCGGTGAAGTAACGAGCCGAAGGATCTCGGCAAAGATCACGAAATGGGACAACGGTGTCAACATGACATGTGTGGCGGATCAAGGTTTCCCTACCCTCACTCCAGCTCTGGCAGCCTCAACGACATTAGCAGTACATTGTAAGTACAATCTTGTTACACATGCCACCGCATATGACCAATTGACGTGTTTGTAATGGCTCCTTCAGCCAATTTTGACCATGGTAAAATCCTAAATGATAGCAGCCCCACAGCTTCGGCTATGGCTGAACAATCATGTATGGAAATAACAGCCTCTGCCACATAGGGTATCTGTTTAATAGCTGACTCGTGTCTGTTGCCAAGATCTTTTCTTGCACAGGTCATGTGTAGACATTGGATAGGCTTCATTGAGAATCAGATTCGTAAGCTTATATCTAACGTAAATGAAGAAAGATGAATTTGAATTGACGTCAAAGTTAAGAAGTGTAAACTTTCAGATCCAACCGAGGTGGTGGTCCCACGGCCATCCCTGCATGTGTTGGAGGGGAGTCCGGCGAATATGACATGTCTCGCCGAGGGTAACCCGGCAGCAACAATCACCTGGAGAAAAATGGTTGATTCTTCTCAAAGCCAGGGCTTCATGAGGTACACCTACATCCTGCACAGTTTTTTTGGGGGGG